CGGCTTTCTGGTTTGGAGCCGTCCACAGTCCTTGAGCCAGCTGGAAGAGTTTCATGTATCCAGACAGAAGTGGATGCTACTCCCATGTTTGCCTTTCTCTTTAATGAGTTGTTCAGTTAGTAGGAGGTACAAGGCCTTTTCCTACTGGCCAGGAAAATGCTCAGCCTGAGAGTGAAACCTTTTTGTAAGTACTCCTTATTTTTACCTAAACATAAAAAAAAAAATGTCAATCTTCTTTCTGTGCTAAAGGATGTCCCCATGCCATTGGGCCCCTGTCAGTCCTGCCAGCTGTATCTCTGAAGGATTCTGTGATATAGCAGCAAGCCATAGCATATCTTATAATTTGCCTTACTGATTATTATAATCAATGCACTATAGCTTTTAAATCACAAAGAAAACTGTCACTGTGACAAATATGTTTACACTTCCATTAGGTAAGGACAGTCCATCCAAATGTGTCTAGAAGTCACTGCAACCTTGGCATAAAGAGGATTCTGATATGCTTTGTGATGCTGTGCAGTGTTTTATTTCCAAACCCATTTCAGTGAAGTCTCCATGATATAAAAAAGCCCAGAGGAGTCTCAGTACAATTCTTAAAAATGGCAGAGCTTTAAAATCTTTCAAAGAGAATGCAAAAGAGAGGAGGGAAAGAAGGCAGCAAGTACCCAGTAAGACAGTAAAAAGAAAAGGTTGTCTTAATGTCAAACCAACTTCTACTTCTAAGCTTTAGCTGCATTCTCGTACTCTTATCCTATCAACACCAGTGGAAATGCAGATTGGTGATTACCCAAGGGTACTACCATTTTCCAGCAGAAATAGCTGTTGCATTTATTCAATCTTTTGGAAATAATCCATGGAGCTTGCAAAATTGTACAGTTTATTGCTACCAAGGTCACAGTAACATGGGTTTTCTTTTGCAATCCATCAGGAGAGTCAGAAAGACAACATACATCATACAGAGAGTATTGCAACATTCCCCCAATACAATAGTCCATGGAGATAGCATTCAGTGCTATTCATTGTAGCTTTATGGCAATGAGACTTTAGATCAGTCTTCCTGATCATGCTTGCACACTGAAATATGTGAAAGTCATACTGCTTCCAATGAAACAACATAGTACATAAAGACTTGGCAGATTCCTGACCTCTACAGTTTTTGACATTCTCCCAAATTTAGGACTGAGAATGTCAGACTGACCCTGCATTTGGCAAGAACAATAGAAGTCCTGGTTCTATCAAACTCTGCTTCAAGTCAGATCTCTTTTCCATTAGAAAAAAAATCTCTGATTTTGTAATATTAATGTAATATTTGCATTTGTAAACAAGTAGTAAATTTAACTGTCCCTAATTTAATTTATTGTGTTGGATTTGGGAGTCAGTGAGGCGCACACATCATAAGAGGAAAAATAAAATTAAATTGGTGGTGCCTGTATATGGCAATATTTCTTATCTGTCAGAATACTGCAAATTAAATGAGAGAAAAAAAAGTGAGTTTTGAGCATGTAATAAAATTCTGTGTTCAGTTTTTTGACATGTATCAATCTTATTGCAAATGCTAAAAAGAAGTTGTTGACTCTGCTATTTAAATCAGAAAAAATATCAATTGCTTAATGCTATTGTGAACCTGGCAGTATATGGGATAAGACTAATTCTTTAACAGTTTGCAATGGAGTGCTTAATTGATACTCCTAAAATCCATATTCTTTTTTTCTCTAATTTTCTGACCTCATTTCTGAGTCAGAGACAGAGAGGGTGGAGTATAATAATTCTGCCCAGGCCAGTTGACCAGGCAAGAAGCCCAAGAAAAATGATTTTTCCATATACTAACATTAATAAGTAGTAGAATCCCAAAATTATTTTGCAAGATTTCAATTAGTGTTTTGAACTTCATGTTGTATAAATTAAATAGTTGTTTCTCAAGGTCCCTGCACTATGACTTCTTCTTGTAAATTATATTGATTTTGGTTTTTAGGTCACTGAGTGTATAATTTTCTTTCACATTTTCTTTTTGCATATTCTTTAATTTCACAGTACGTGTTACAAAATGCTACACAGTTTCTACACAAAGATCACTCAGGTGATGACAACATGCAATTTTTGCAGTAAGCTCAACAAAAATGCATGTGATTGTGTTAATGGCAAGATAGATTTACCTTGTTAAGATTCTTGGGGGTTTGTTCCTCTCCGCACCCTACATGGTACAACCTCCATATTAGTGTCCTTCCATGGGGAAAGACCAGCACACAAGTTTTCCTCTCACATTCACAGCTCCTCTGCATCCAGCTATGATATTTTGTAGCAAGACAGTTCTGATAGCAAATTTAATTGAATCAGCCAAAAAAAAAAAAAAAGGTCTCTTATCCGGTTTTTTTTTTTGGACAACGTTTAACTATCTCTGTCAGGCTAAATAGCTTATACTAAAAAAATACTTGCCTCTGTTTCCTGCTTCTAGAAATCGACTTTACAGTGACTTTTAAGATCCCAAATATGCCAAGAGGGGACTACATGCAAACACCTGATGCTCCAATGTGCAAACTCCAGAGGAAGAAGATTCTGCTGAACACCTTCCTCTGCCTTCCGCAGGGTAAAACCTTTTCAGAATCCAGTTTTACTCAAATTAATCAGCAACCTCTCTAGCCCACTTCTGTCTGCATTTGGATTCATGCGTAACAGGAATACAGGCTTTACCAAGAACTGAGGCATGCTCCCATCAAAAAAGAAAGATTCCAAGATGGCAACAAGTGTGAATTCACAATGGATATTTACATTTTTGCTGCAAATAAAACATCCTATCAAGGCTTTCCAATATAAATGTGATCCAGTGTATTGTACCAGACATCATTGCACATTTTTTCAAATTTCAAATGAAAAACATGAAGAAGATAAAACTGTATTTCTTACTTTCGACGGAACATTTCTGCAAATATGCAGCCAACACTCCAAAGATCAACCGGTGTTGCATAGCTGGACTGAAGCAAAACTTCAGGAGCTCTATACCACAAAGTAACAACCTGTAAAACAAAAAGGAACATAGGAGACAGTATGCTTAGCTATGGAATTGCATCCTCATAAGTGTTGTGTGTACAGCTTCCATTTAGTTTAATCCAAATTGTAAAATCTGACAGATTATGGCAAACTGGTTGGATAGGAAAGGGTTCTGTACGGAAAATCTCAGTATGGATAGCTGCAGTGATGATGAGCTGGGAAGCGAGAACACTTCTTGTCAAGAGCAGTGCAGTTCAGGGTACAATAAAAATACAACATCTGCGTACAGCATTGGTGTGATATCACAATATCACAGCACACTACCAGAACAACTCTTTGAAGCCTTTGCAAAGTACAGACCCTAAACACTTTCCAGTGGAGATCTGGACTCTCTGTAGAGCAAACAGTAGTCTATTGAACAAGGCCTCCTTTTCTTAAACAACTTTTGTGGACCTCTTAGATGTAGTCACTAGAGCTAAACTGAAAATAAGTAAGCTAGGGGATACTGTGGGTTTGACCGTAGGACAAATCAAAACCTGTAACCTGTGTCTGTCCTAAGCCCTTCATAGTTTATGTGTTATTTTTTGTGAAAGAAGTGAGGATAGCTCAAGTGTACAGGCCAACCTGTGTAAACATGTCTGGCCTGTCTCAAAAGTTCTCTCTTCATATTGAGCTGAAGAAATTATAACTTTATTTTTTTTTTTTATCAGTTGGATACCGGTTAATTGAAACCCTCCCCAAAGCTGTCCCTTACCAAAGGCATTCAGCGCTGTCCACTGTGGTTTCCTCACACACAGAGGTACCTTAAACTGTCAGTTTTCAACTAAGCAACACAGCACAGGGATCCTTGGCAAATTCCTGACCTTAACAGTTGTGCAAGTGGCTCTGCCCATATGCTGCTTGTTAGACTAGCACTAACTTCTCTTACAATTTATTTCCAGATGACACACT